AGAGAACAATCGTCAACATCATTTCTTTCTCTTCTTGAACCCAACTAACACTAGTGTGTAGCACTCTCGTAATCACTGTTGGAGAACAATCGTCAACAACATTTCTTTCTCTTCTTGAACCTAACTAACACTAGTGTGTAGCACTCTCGTAATCACTGTTGGAGAACAATCGTCAACATCATTTCTTTCTCTTCTTGAACCTAACTAACACTAGTGTGTAGCACTCTCATAATCACTGTTGGAGAAACTATCATTAATAGATGTATTTCACTCGTTGAATGAAACCAACAGTATATGTTACACTTCTAGATTCACAGGTGTTCATTTTCTAAGAAACAAACTAATACATCTATGATTAAACATTAACGTCTTGATCTCGATCTCAAACACCGCATGACATCCATTCAAAGGAGGAACTTTTGCTCTTTTCATAGTACAAAAGTCTTCGCCAAAAAAGGGTGATCTTCTTACTCAGCTGTTAAAGGTGGTTTATTATGATATAGTTTGGAGTTTGAGGTACGTATATCTGTTATGAAAACAACGTTATATGTAACGTTAATCTTAAAAACCTAACATTACAACATATTGTGAGATGTCATCGTTGATGATGGTTCTGAATAAAGTTCGGAGGTCAAACCTTCGGGGTGCTGATCTTCAACCTTCCATTGTTCCAGATGTGGAGACAGTTTCCAGTGAGGAGACATCGGGGAGCTTGGAGGACTTGCACCTACAGGGGATGAAGGCGGAGACGTTTGCTCGGCACGTTGATCGCCTCCTTGTTCCTCTTCTTGCTTCTGCCTCTTGTGTTTAGTTCTTCTATTTTGGAACCACACCTTAACCTAGTAAGAAACGTAACACTTATTACAAATCACAGCACAGATCTATAAAACTATCTAACTACTTTGTTACTGTCAGTGGCATGTCATTAATCATTTACTGCGTGAGGACAAACAAATTCCTACCGTACGCAATGAGAGTGATGAACTTAAGATACACTTAGCTTAGCGCTACTGAAATCATATACAGTAAAAATTCTTTAAGCTCTAAAATAGAAAATAAATGGAGCAATAGTTGTAGTAAATATATCTGAAATAAACTATGTTGCGTGCTTTGAAGCAAAGGAACATTTCATCAGTTAGAGGAGATGAAAAATCTTTCTACTTCACAGCACTTTTTAACAGTTTCTTTGTGTGTAAAATTTGGTGCACAACAACATTAATTAATTTTTGTAAAAACTATTTATAAATTTTTGAAAGAAATACTAGACAGGATGATGTGTATTTAAAAAAAAGGAATCTGTGACAATGTATATCAGAAACTATTTAACTGTCATTGCCAGATTTTGTTAGTGTTATCTTTAGACATCGTTCACTTTTTTGTTCAAGTTCTATACTTGCACCAAGAATGACTTTTCTGTTATCTTTAATCGTACAAGTTTTGCAATACATTAAAGTATTATTTTAAGTGTGTAAATTTTTTATGGTACAGCCCAGAATAATAAAATAATTGATAAAGTGAAGTAGAAATGGGAGATTCTACATACATACAAACATACGTGGTTGTTGAGAACAAAATACCTTTTTGTTATTTTTTTATGTCTTTGTAAAATTGAAAATGTTTATAATTTTTGAAGTTGATAGTCTACGTTTGTAGCATCTAACTAGAATTAACTTATAGTATTAAGTCATGTAAATTTATAGTTACTGTGCTCTTGCACAGGAATCGCGCTGTTAAGGGAGTGGTTTAACAACCAAGTTAGAATTAGAAAAAAAAAAGTCCATTATAATAAAATTTCACAATCAGCCATACCAAATTCTATAGTGATTTTTTTCTCTGTTAATGCAGGGAATACAATTTTGCTACGAACGAAAATTATCATATTTTAGTATATTAGTTCAAGAATAATTATTAACATTGAATTATTATCGACAAACTCTGGATGTAAAAAATGATAACTAAACTTATTTAAATAGTCAACGTTTGTATCTGTTTCGAGAAAGAGGTACTTAATTTTCAACTGATAAGATTAGTATCTCCCGGTGGAATACTCGTTGATGCAATGTTAGATGAAAACGAAACTCCTATGCGAAAGTTGTGATCCCTGTAAACCAAATGTTTGTCATTATTAAAGATATGTCTCCAAAGTTTAAGCATCGTGTATCTACTGACCATATAGTATAAATCTGATCGTTTCTCTCCATTCAGTTAGCTAATGTCCACATATAACCTATTCATCAATCTTACGTTTCACGCTGTACGAGCGCGATCGGAAGAGGATCATATTTTTCTTTTATCTCGTGTAGCATCGAGGTTACTTCCGCCGTTTTTATATCAGCAGCAATTACTGTCTCTGTGGTCGAAGTCTGTGCTTGTGGTTTTGGTGTTAGTCACTTAAGAAGAGGCTAATGGACTTCCTGCGAGGAACCACTGGTCAAACTTCCGATCTCAATACAATTAATGACTATAGGATTAGTGCAGTTTGATTATTGGACAAATCTGTTTTCAGGAACTATTGTTCTTGTAGGTTCGTTTCAATTTGACTGATTAATAACTGTTGGAAACTGATTCGATGCGTCAGACAAAATCTTACGGATAGTGGCTTGACTATCGAAACAGTTCATGCTTCTCGTCCTTTAGCCTCACTCATAGGTCATAAGGTTATCATTCCATGTGACACTCTGTATTCTTCCTGGAGAGAGTTGAGTTTGTTTGTTTGTTTTTGAATTTCGTGCGAAGCTACACTAGAGCTATCTGCGCTAGCCGTCCCTAATTTAGCAGTGTAAGACTAGAGGGAAGGCAGCTAGTCATCACCACCCACCGCCAACTTTTGGGCTACTCTTTTACCAACGAATAATGGGATTGACCGTCACATTACAACGCCCCCACGGCTGAAAGGGCGAACATGTTTGATGTGACGGGAATTCGAACCCGCGACCCGTAGATTGCGAGTGGAGCTCCCTAACCACCTGGCCATAAGAGAGTTGTGACATGGTAGAAAGTTGTCCTTTGAATGATAAGGTTTATTCTAAGTTCGCTGATCTGGAGGGCATCGTTTTAGTTAATTTTAAAAGAGGCAGATACCTGTTTCACGAAGCAAAGTCTTCTTTGAATAAAACAATTTAAATTAAATCTTACAGCATTTGACAAGCTAGCGTTTCTAACCACAATTCATGATGTACTTTATAACATTAGCAGTGACACTTTTATAAATGCATTTGAACACCAGGAATTTTCAACTGTAAAAGCATTAAAACGTTTCACGGACTAAATGGTGTTTTTCACTATATGTAGTTAAAAACATATGTTTTTTACTGTGGCTGAAATTTACATTTAGTATATATCACCCTTAAAATTGGAGCTTCACTGAATTATATTTAGGTTTAATATACGACATGGATTAATTTGTTCATTACGATTTCATTGTATTTAATCTGTCCTGTGTCAATTTAAAATTGAAGGATTTCCTTTTTTTACGAACAACTAATATTCATTCTTAAAATAAGCACAAATCAATTACTCTTGTTAAGAGAGCTTTAAATAATCTCAGGTTTAGGCTTAGAACGCCTGAATTAAATAGAAATAAACGATGGCAAGGAAACAAACATTATATGTTCCCAAACATATTTACCCTGTATAGAACAAGTTGAACATCTGTGCGAAGTAATAAATAATTTGGTTTAGGTAATGATTACACCTCTACCCACTCCGATCAGTTTTGAACAACTATAATAAAAATAACAAACTGTCGTGGTTTGATATTAGTGGTCACGTGAGGTTTTCCCGAGCTTGCCGCCTCTCTAACAACATATGATCGCATCATAGCACAACAATGTACACTTGTCAGTTTACCTGTGTATCAATTAATTGCTTAAATGTTTTCAGGAAACATCAAAGGAAAGGAAGTTTATAATGTTTAGGGTTCTCTGACACTGACAGGCAAGTTCAATTTGTTTGTGGGGGAATTTTGGTGTATTCGTATATTAGTAGGTTTAAAGTTTATTAATACAGCAGAAACACGTGGCTCTATACGAAAAGGAATTAACTTTTTTTTTTCGAAACAGTTTCACACTCTTAAAACATTGCGTTTAAAGTTAGTTAGATAATTAGACCCCTAAGATGTTTTGGTTTTTTTCAAATTATAGGAAACTGTAAACAATAAATTTTAAATCTAAAGAATAGACACATCTACAACAAATCCACGCGTGTTT